GATAACACGCACGAAAGAACACAAGTCAGACCACTTCACTCCCCTGTTCAAAACCCTCCAACGGCTTCTCATCCCACCCAGAGTAAAATCTAAAGTCCTTACATTGGCTTACAAAGTCTTGGATGGTCAGGTCCCTGCTCCCTAGTCATTTTTGTCCTCTGAGATTCCCATTGTTTTTTGTAAGCTCAGCTATTCATTTAAAGCAAGCTGTTGTAATCCACCTAGCAAATGTTAATATTATACTGGTAGGGGTTTTCAGAATATTGATCCTCCATATTTCCAGAAGGAGAAGGTCCAGCATTCAGTAAATATAAGTTAAACAAAAGGATGGATAAATGGATAAACAAACCCCTTCATGGTCATAAACTATAAATGACTTTTTTTTAAAGGGAAGACTTTACCTTTTCTTCTTAGTCATTATTTTTCTGGATATCTTTGTTATGCTATTAGTTTTCTGGACATTTCTGTTCTTCTTTAAAAATTGTAGAAATAGCCAGGGTTTTCTTCAGAAAGCTAGTTTTGGTCTTCTGGCACCCAGCCAAAATTATATCATGTCCCAGGGTTGCATGATGTCTATATGGTATCCCAACACTTGAGGCCCTTGTCAGAGAGACAGAGCAACCTTAGGTCCCATCCAAAGTTTGCTTTCTTTTCTTTCTTTCTTTCTTTCTTTCTTTCCTTATTTATTTATTTATTTATGGTGTGTGTGGGAGCTATGTAGTGACCATTGTCAAATATGCATGCAATCCATTCACTTTTTCATACATTTTAAATTCTGCTCTTATATCAAGGTAGATTTCTAGAAGCCTTCACCACATCAGCTTAGCCTCTCACTATATTCCTCTCACTGAGTTCACCAATGCTGTGTTTTTTGGCTTTTATCAAAGCTTTTTGTCATATGGATGCCTTTGAATCATATGGACGGATCTTACATTTGTTGAAAACATTTTTGGGGGGAATACAGTGAGAAATTTGCTTTAAATTTAATACACATTTACCTATGCTATAGAATATGACTCAGCCATAAAAAGGAATGAAGTCCTGATATATGCTGTAACACAGATGAATCTTGAAAACATTATGCTAAGTGAAAGAAGCCGGTCACAAAAGGACAGATATTGTGTGATTCTCTCTATATGAAATACCTAGAATAAATAAGTTCATAGAGACAGAAAGCAAAGTGATGATTGCCAGGTGCTAGGGGGAGGGGAGAGAGGGACTGACTGCTTAATGGGTACAGGATTTTCTTTTCATGAAAATGTTTTCAACTAGATAGAGGTGAAGGTTGCATAATATTGTGAATGTACTAAATAGTATTCTGAATTGTACACTTTAAAATGGTTGCGTTTATGTTGTATAAATTTTGCCTAAATTAAAAAATAATAGTGCACAGTCAGCCTAAAGAGAATATTTGGCGTACGAAGGTCACAGGGACATGGTAGCAGTGACTTAAAGGATGGTCAGGAGAAGAGTAATTATTAGGCTATTTCATGGTCCCCAAAGGGTAGAACTAGATTGAGTAGGTGAGCACTATAAAACCATCACAAAATCAGAGAGATTGGAATACCGAAGGACCATTTGCCCACCATGAGATAGCTGAGGGAAGGGTCATCGAATGCCATTGAAAGCAGCAGCCTACGTCCATAAAAATGACCAATGCCCAACCTTTCCCTAGCCTACAGTCCCAACGAAGATGACCACAAGGTTGACTTGTTCACTGCTGCCAGCCAAGGCTGCATTCACTGCAGTTGCCAGCATTAGTTTATCATGGCTAGAAGGAATGCACAGCCCCACACAACAACCAGTAGACCTCACTCCAGGCCAGAGTTAGACCTAAATGTCCATCCTCCTCCACAGTCCTTTCAAGACCAAATCCACCACGGCTGCCTATTTTCCTTACACTTGGAGTGTAAGCCCCTCTGATCACCTTCCATTTCCTAGACAATTCATCCAAGTTGCTGTCTCCTGACCTGACCTTTCTTTTCTTCCCAAACTCTCCCTTGCCATCCTCTGTATTTCCTGTTTTACAATCAACAAACTCCGATATATCCTCCAGTTCCTCTCCAAAACTTTCTTCTACCTCCTGCTTTAATAGAACCTGACCTCCCAAGAGCATCACTTCCCCTGCAGATCTCTCAAGGTGATAATGTTCTCTCACACTCCACACACCTCAGGGTTGGAAAGCAGAGTTGATTGTCCTCCTTTATGATGAATGCCTCTTACCAATCTTTGTTCTTCCAGCCCCTTGTAAAAAAAAAAAGGAAGAAAGAAATAAAATAACCCTCCTCCTTTGAAGCTCATGACATTGAGATATATGATCTTCTCACTGTTTTCATTGCAGCGACCTACCAGCCCCTCATACATTGATGACTTTGGCACCTAACTCCTGGACTTCCTTCCTCTTTAAGCAACTCCTGTAATCCCATATGACATCACTATCCAGGTGCACTACCCATCCCAGAGCTTGGATTCCCAGTTCTACAGTAGCATGCTCCTCCACTCAGCTTGAGCTACCTTCTCTCCTGGACATAGCCAGAACCTTGCCATCACCCTTAAATGTTATCAACTCAAAAAATCATATAATCAAGCATCCCACTGTTTAATCACAGTCTCCTATTCTTGTAATTTATTACTCAAGTATCTCATTGCATTGCCTCTTAACTCTACCTCACTGAACCTCTAGGCCATTAACTAGTTCCTTTGTTTCTAGCCATCAGTTTGCTCCTTCTTTATTTCCATTCCATGCTGTACTGTTGCGAAACATATTTTGCTATATAACTGGCTTTAAAATTTTTGCCTTCTGAGACAACTCATTCCATTTGTGAAGAGCAGTCCTGCTCCTTAGGATGAGCCCAAATGTGCTTTCGTTTATCCGCTTATTTATTCATTGATTCAATAAATATTTGTTGAGTATCTACTATGTGTCAGGAATATGCCCGTTTCTAGATATATAGCAATGAATAAGGTAATTTGTTCCTACTCCTGAGAAACTTAAAATCCAGTGGGGAAGACAGATATTCAACAAATAGCTACACATATAATTATTTAATCACAATTAAAGGAAGGAAGAATATGGGCTGTGAGAGAATTAAAGAGGTGCTGTTCTGAGAGCTATCAGTGGGAATCAGTGGATGAAAGTTACTGAAGGGACTATTGATAGGATTTGGCACCATTGGGAGATCAAGGAGAGGGGAAAAAATCTCCTTGATTTTGACCAAAAGTCTGTTGTGGTTTTATTAATTGATTGATTGGTTGATTGGCAAGACAGGAGGCTCGTCTTATTGCTACATGCCCCTTTGCAGTAAAATGATTTTATAAACCAGCAGCATGACTATATGTATGTGTAAATGAATAGAGAAATATTTTAATTTCTCTTGGCTTAGAATCTTTTGGGAGAGAGATCCTAAAATTTTGAGGTAGAATCTATATTTATTATTTCCAATTGAAAGAAGAACAAATGCTTTCTGTTTAGGTAGATGTTTGTTTTCTTTCATTAAAAAGTTCTTTTCTAATCTTTTAATCTGCTGATTCCAAGAATTGTTCTACTTTGCACTTCTGTGCTTTCTACTTGCCTATGTCCCTTTGACTTGGGCACCTGTTTCCCTTCTGAATACATTTAATTTGTTCAGTTTACTCTCTTTTTTTTTTTAGACCTGGAAAAGCTAACATTCCTGCTTTCTCTGCACTTCAAGCTGATGTCTCAAGTGTGTACCCATTTCAGTCCTACATGAAAACAGCCCTAATTAGCAGAATCTATCCTTATTTTTCATTTTTTTCTTTAATTTTCTCTTAAGTAATACTTTGAGCTAAGAAGTATAAAATCAAAGTGAAAACAACCGTAGTCTGTAACAGTGTTATAGCCACATTTCTTCTTTTTTAGTCTGGATAACCAAGCCAAAAGTTAAACCATGTTTTCTTAGGAAATTCAGGTATTCGGATTCTTTGATAGCGATGAGATTGTCGAGGTGGTTTTCAGTTTGGTCACACCAGGCTTTGTGCATTGACACTATTCTAGAAAAGAGAAGACACATATTTTGGTTGGGAAAAAACAGCCGTGGCTCTAATCCTGGAGAGTAACTGAGTCTGCAGAATAAATCAAGATGAATTGGTTGACTTGAGCAGCCTAGAATTGAGACTGGCATGATGCAAAGACACCAGGAGTCTTTGTTTCATTGAGCTTAATGACTGTTTTCAGATTATTAATACTTTTTCAGACAACTGTAGAGTATTGATGCAAAAGCCCGTATGTATACTACTTCATACCCATTAGGGTGGTGATAATCAAAATAACAGAAAATAACAAGTATTGAACAGAATATGGAGAAATAGGAACTTTCATACATTGCTGGTGGGGTTGTGAAATGGTGCTACCCTTCCGGGAAACAACTTGGCAGTTCCTCAAAAAGTAAAACGTGAAGTTACCATATGACCCAACAATTCCATTTCTGGGTATATGTCCAAGAGAACTGAAAACATAAGCCTACTCAAAAACTTGTGCATGAATGTTCATAGCAGCATTATTCACAATAGCCAAAAAGCAGAAACAATCCAAACGTCCATCGGTTGATGAATGGAAAAAGAAAATGTGGCATATTCATACAATAGAGTATTATTCAGTTTATAAAAAGGAATGGAGTACTGATACATGGTACAAAATGGCTGAACCTTGAAAACATTATGTTAAATGAAAGAAGCTAGACACAACAGGCCACGTACTGTATGATTCTATTTGTATGAAATGTCCACAATAGGTAAATTTATAGAGGCAAAAAGTAGATTAGTAGTTACCAGTGGCTGGTGAAGATGGAGAGTGACTTCTAATGGGTCCTGGGTCTCTTTTGGGGGAGATAGAAGTGTTCCAGAGTTAGATAGCAGTGATGGTCACAGGATCTTGTAAATATACCAAAAGCTGTTGGATTGTACACTTACAAAGGGTGAATTTTATGGTATCTTTTATCTAAGTAAAACAGAATTTTTAAGAAAGAGCCTGTACACAGGGCTAAATATAAACATGTTTATTATAAAACTTCATAATGCCATGTCAAATACAATAGGTATGACATAAGCTTAAATAAATACATACTTAAAACATTTTAAATCATAATTTTAAATACTTTATAAAACCCAAACACAGACCACATTTATATTTCACACAGCTATTTCCAATGCAGTATATACAAACATTTACAACATTTGAACAATTTCAAAGAAAACAGTAATTCATTCCATATGTAGCCTGCTCATAATACTTGTTTTTTTTTCTCTCTCTCTCTCCTTTATTTCCCAGAGTTCTTTTATCCCTTAATAACCTCTGCTGTTCTGATCCTTATCATATCTCTCTGTTTCCTTTTGGTTTTGTCTTTGCCAGTGTGCAGCCAGCACTTCTCTGAAATTTTGCTTTTTCAACACATCCTAAGTTATGAAAGGGTGGGAGAGTTTGGATTCTTATACTATCCTGCAAGGTTGGGGCAGCTTTGCCAATTACTGGCCCAGTATCTCTTATGGCCAGTGATCAACCAATGACTAGGGATTCCTTAGGAATTTTAAACTCTCTTATAAATAAATACAAATACTTGCTCATTCAGGCTTTCCTCTCTTTAAGAACACACGAACGGACAGAATAAGACAATTAGGGAATATTTATTAGACATCTTGACTTTAAAAAAAATCCACTGGACAGATCCACTACATGGTATGTTTCTAGCATGGATTTAAAATCTTATGTAATATACAAGAATTGTATGTTGACACATCACATCTGACAAACATCTTTGTAGTAATGCAAAACACATTTATATATCTATATGTTTTTTTTTAAGAAAGACATTCATAAAACTGTACCTTTGTTTGTTTGCATTTATGCTTTTATCAGATCAGAACATTTAACCTCCTGGAAGTTTTTCATCATAGAAACCATATAGCTATGAAAAAATACCTGACAGTGTACAAGTGTGTTGCCATGCGGATTTTGCTCTCCTGAGACTACTCATGGTTTTTAAAGAAACTGTAGTCAAACATTCAGAACTTTATACTGGTTTATGCGTTGCTAGGGCACAGTAGTTGCCCTTTTTGAAATACATTTACTACAGATGAAACTTTAGAATTTGTTAATAAAGATCTGGGATAAGCAACTTTTATTATAGTCCTAATATTTATAGTCCTAATTATTATAGGACTAATATTTACATATTTTAAAGTCCCTACCACACTTGTACTGAATTAATATCGTCCTAATATTTACATATTTTAAAGTCCCTACCACACTTGTACTGAATTAAGACTTATGGACTTTATACTATAGTCAATGCAAGTAAAAAGAACACACAGCCTCTAAAAAACACTTTAAAAAGCACTGAATCCCACAGGGATAAAAGTGATTGAGACAGTGTTTGCACTCCCACAGAGTGCTAAATAGAATTTCCACCATTAACAACCTTTCCCATGTCGTCACCCCATGGCATTAAAAATTTGTCATTTTTTTTTCCAGGTCTGTTAATAGAATATCTTTGACCAATTTGTTTCCTCTAAACTCTTGACACGTATTATTCATCCCAATGACAGCAACTACATAAGCAGCAGTTGAAACACTGTGAGGGACAAAAGAAAGAAACAGCGCCACAAAATAGTGGGTTGCACCACAAGATTTTCCAGTGAGTGAAGGGTGAGTTAGAAAAGGAATTCTGAGATTCCAGAGCCTTAGTCTCTTCACTCTTGCATGGGAGCGAATATTCTTTCCTTCCAGTAGCCAGCACTGGAAAGGAGAAAACTGAGTCTTTTTGGTGGCAGGCTGGACTTGCCCACTGGATTTTAGTCCGTTGAAGTCCTTGTAGGTACCATAGTCCCAGCTATAAAGGCAGCCAGCGTGTGTAGTAGGTGAGTAGGGCCAGAGACCCAAGCAGACCTCTCTGTCTCTGCCGTCTTCAGGGTATCGTTCTAGTTCCCTAATGTACCTGTGCTCCTGCAATGATAAGAGTGCATGCGGGCAGGACATTTAATATTTTGCATACTAACAGCAGCGACAAAATTCCCCTTCTAGCACAGACAACTGTGTGCACTCTCACAAGGCTAGTCCAGATACAAACCGCAACATCCTATATAGCTGGGATAGTGAAACTATTCTGTATGATACTGTAATGGCGGATACATGTCATTATACATTTGTCAAAACCCATGGAATATACAAAACCAGGAGTGAACCCTACTGTAAACTGTGGGATTTAGTTAATAATAATATATCAATACTGGCCCATCGATTGTAACAAAATACCATACAAATGTAAGATGTTAATAATAGAGGAGGGCTTCCCTGGTGGCACAGTGGTTGAGAATCCACCTGCCAATGCAGGGGACACGGGTTCGAGCCCTGGTCTGGGAAGATCCCACATGCCATGGAGCAACTAAACCCGTGCACCACAACTACTGAGCCTGCGCTCTAGGGCCCGCGAGCCACAACTACTGAGCCCGCGTGCCACAACTACTGAAGCCCGCGCACCTAGAGCCCGTGCTCTGCAACAAGAGAAGCCACCGCAATGAGAAGCCCGTGCACCGCAGCAAGGGGAGTCCCCACTCGCCGCAACTAGAGAAAGCCCGCGGGCAGCAATGAAGACCCAACACAGCCGAAAATAAAATAAATAAATAAATTTTAAAAAAATAATAGAGGAAATTGGAGGGCACGAGGGGCTATGCTGGAACTCTGTACTTTCTACTGAATTTTCTGTGAACCTGAAACTGCACACACAAAAATGTCTATTAATTAAAAAACATCTATTCAGAGGGGACTTGAGCCTTCCAAATTGTCACAAAGCAGAGCAGAGTGGTTAAGAACACAGCTTTTAGAGCCAGACTGCCTGGGTGTGAATCCTGGCTATACCACTTACTAGTTTTGAGATTTTCGGCATTAAGTTCTCTGTGCCTCATTTCCTTCACCTATATAATAATAAATACAGTAGCCCTTATCTCATATAATTCCTAGCTTAGAACGGTTCCTAGAACATAGTAAGTGCCATATAAGGGTTAGCTATTATTATTATTCATGTTCATCAATGAAATGACTCCATAAAGGCCAGATCCTTGTTCCTTTCCTCTCCTCCGACAAAAACATGAAACAACTTGCCCTAGAATAACATGAAGGTGGTGATTTCCTCCCTAGACACTGCAGGTTCAGAAGGTTCCAGGAGCAACAGAACATGTAGAGAAGATATCTTCTTTCAAAACCATATGTGATTTTCAAGTCTTACCTGATTCCTTTGGACTTAAGTTAACTCGGAAATCGTTTGGTAGGATCCGTCTGATTGAAGGCTTTGGCAGCTGCTGTGGAATACATGAGAACACTGAGTAAAGCACTGGTTTCCAGCATGAAGAGAGAAAAATGTGTAAAATGTTCAATGGCATGCTTTATACAAGAGTGCAGCTTACCTGGCAGGAACAAATTTTTTTGCTGCAAGAGAAAGAAAACCATTCATTTAGACTAAATGACTTTTAAGGATACATTAAATCCTGAAACAATATGACTCTTTTCATCAGGGGTTGCAAACTCAGTACCTACACGGCCCCTGTAATTATCAGAGCCCAGACACAGCTTGGTGGCAACAAGGGGGCAGGGCAGGGGATGCAAAGTGTGCACTCATGCAAAGGACACAGCAGCTTCCTAATGCAAGCGGATAGCAACATGCTCTGCTTGCCAGGTTCTGCTGTCTTCCAATTTGCCATGAGAAATCTCAGGTCTGGATTAGATGTGAAATTTCCTATTCTGTAAATGTCAGAACTTAATTCAAAAAATACTAAAGACTCTGTAGGTCAAACAAACCAGGAGTGTGGCTAGATGTGTTTGCATATCCCCTGAGATACTCCCATATTTAAGCCTGTATTCCAAATAAAATTTTTGGAAACATTTTATTGATTTTCCCAGGACTGCTAATTATGGCAGCCTCATTGCAACAACTCCCAGGGGGACCACAGCATTCAATGTGAATAGCATCCCCTGGAGTTGTACCATGTTAGCACACTAACATTTGTATTTCCTGAAACTCTTTCCCTAAGACTTCTGCTTAATTACCCTGCAGTTTATTAGTGTTTAATGACTAGTGACTAGATTCTAATTACTTTTTAAATCTGTGAGAGATAACGTGACTCATCAATGAGAAAATAATTTTTTTCAAAAACCTTTTTGGAGTACATTCATAAATGCCCTTACCTTTCTTCTGAAGGCGTTTCAGAAGCCAGAGGAGAAATGATGCTAATGTCATGAGGGAGACCCCAGCAGCAGAAAGTCCAACTGCCAAGGGAGTTTGGGACTTAGAAGGAGCTAAGGAAACAGAGGGGGGTAAACTGTCATGAGAAGGAATTAAATTCAAAGTCTTTCTGTTCTGTCCATTTGCCCTTTGTGCACTGATTACAGTGTACAAAGCAGAAGAGTCATCTAGTTCAATACATGAGGCAGAGACATGGTACTAAAGGCCTTAGAGGTCAGCCCCAAACCACCTTTTGCGAGCTTATCTCCCAGCCTGGCTAGGCAGAGCTCTAACCTACCAAGCTTTCACAGCACACCTTGGTTAACCTCTCTCTCTCTCTCTCTCTCTCTCTCTCGCTCTCTCTCTCTCTCTCTCTGTCCCTCCCTCCCTCCCTCCCTCTCTCCCTCCCTCCCTCCCTCCCTCCCTCTTTTTCTCACTCTCTCTCTCATTTCCCTTCCCACCCCCCAACTTTTCCCACTAGCTCTCCTTTTATCAAAATTCCACTGACATGTCACTTCTTCTGTTTTCTCTTTATCCCCATAAAATGAAATGTCCATCCACTAATGTTAACCTGGGTAACCTTTCTGACCTTTCTGGCTTGGATACACTGGGTAGTTCATTACTGCAGCCAGATAGCTTCCTTTCTTAGCTCCCTTTCTTCTCTCTTGTCCCCCAGACAACCACCATCAATCAATGCTTCACCTTCACAAGTAGGCAGCATCCCAGACCAGTGTCCTGTGGCACCACATGTCAGAGCCGCAGAGCCATTGAGCGTCCATCCTTCAGGACATGAAAATGTACACTTGGTGCCAAACACAGGCTCCCCACTGCAGTTTATGTCGATCTTTCCGGGAACCTCCAAACTTGAACACTGTACCGCTGCAAACGATAGGACATGGGTAGAGGTTAAGAAAAATCTACCGGAACGTTTTTAAAACGGGCAGAAAAGTCACCAATAAGTGTAACTTATAAGCACTACTTAGTTTTCAGCATGTAGGAAATTAGGATCAAGTCCCTTGGGGCGATCTAGGTTCAGAAATGTTTTAAGGTACTTGACCTATACTCCTTTAAAGATTGAATTCAGTCCTACCTTGGCAGGAGGGGACCTCCTGTGTCCACTGTCCCTGAGATGTGCACTCAAGTTGAGCCGATCCACGTAATTCAAAGCCTTCCTCACAGCTGACGGCACAGGAGGACTTGTAGGTAAACTCTCCAGTGGGGGAATGGGTACAGTTCACTGAACCACTTCTGGGCTGAGGGATAGCATCACATTTCACAGCTGGAAGACATGAGTGAGTACATGAGAGGTTCGTTTTTATCGGGCAGCAACAGATTTCCCAAGGTAACCAAGTCCCTAGCTCTTCAATAGTGCTCACAGGAAAACTCACCCATGAACCCACTTTGGAAACTTTCAGAAGTACTAGAAACACTAGACTAGTTGTCTTTCAGGAGACAACTCACGTAGCCTCTCTCTGGGCTAGACAAAGCTTTCACGGGAAAGCAGAGCTACCAAAATTATGGTCAGAGAATAATGTAGTGGAACTGGATAGTACTTGGCATTTGACGACTGAACCCAGATCACTTTGGACAAAGGAATACTCAGAGAATTCAAGACTCTTCATTAGTCCCTGGACAAGTGGGAAGATGGCTGTGTTTTCTTTGAATTCCAGTCCCTTCATTGACAGGGGTACTAATTAAAGGACAGCCTTTAACAGGACCAGTGGTTCCTGAGCTCTGTTCTGATATGTGAAAGAAGTCAGGGTTAGGAGAAAGATTTTATGTAGTCAGGGAGCAACTTATGGGTCCTGGATGCTGACAGATGAGGCCAAAAAGAAAGGAGGATAAGAAGGCAGCCACATAAAATTTGTCTGCTTTGCAGTTTGGTTTTTGTCTTGTGTCTTTTTCCACTGTAAATCATTCTGTGCTCTATTTGGCTACAAAAATGCCAGTTCCTGATAGTGAGAACTGCTTGCTTTCAATGTTCTTGATCTTGCTTTATTAAATTAAATTAAACTAAATTTTAGTGCTTACGTATATATTAAGTGTGTCTCTATATCTGACACCACACTTGAAACATTTTCATCACTGCTAGTCATGAGCAATTTCAGAAGAAAGGTATGACAAGTACTTTGGAATCAAGTCATGTTCTCATAATCCTACTTTGTAAATTTTCTAATGTGATTTCCCTTCAGATTAAGATTTCTGCTTACTCCATGCCAATGTCTATAAAGTTATGTTAGTCCAGTACAGTTAAGAAACCAGCAAAGCATCCACTCTTACTACATACAATCCTTTCCCTGGACAGTTCTTTTATACGCATCTCAAAAATATAAGATGAATGTTGCCCATCAGATCTGATTACTATAGTTAAAGTAGGCATCAGGTTTCATTTTCAGTGCTTCACATTTGAAGACTGCTGCTCTTTGAGAAAGGGAGAGTGTAAAGGAGACTCTCAGGCTTACCTTCACAAACTGGGACCTGCTGTGTCCATTGCCCCTGGGTAGTGCATTCAACCTGGGCTGGCCCCTGCAACACGAAGCCTTCTGCACAGGTGAAGTGGCAGGATGACTTATAGGTGAACTCTCCAGCAGGGGAGTGGCTACAGCTCACAGCGCCATTCTGAGGATGGCTGACGGCATCACACGTCACAGCTGTAACACATGTCCCAATTTACATTAGCAGGTCTGGCTTTCCCATTTGGAGTATAGGTTGAGGAAAAAGAATGTTTACAATATAAATCCTGATGTAGAACTACCGTACCTTTACATGTTGGTTTCTTGTTGTCCCATATCCCAGAGGAGATACACTGCAGGTGCTGGGGTCCAGTGAGTTTATATCCTTCATTACACTCAAATTCACAGGTGGTGTTCCACAGGAAGCTTCCGTGGCTTTGGAAACATTTCACAACTCCATTGACAGGACTTCTCAAAGCATCACACTTAGCCACTGGGGATTTGAAAGAATACCATGAACTTTACAGAAGAGTGACATATTCACTTCTTATTGAACTGGAATTTATAATACAGTAAGATAGATCAGAGGGTAGATTCCCAAAGCCCTGCGTTCATCCTTGGGGACATGCGCACATCCGATAAAGTTTTTATGCTTTTTTCTTGGTATTTTCATCTTCTCTGATTGACTCTGACTGTGCTAAATGGTTTCTGATCTATTTTATCAGATCTCTCATCAGGTCTCTGATCTATTTTACATAAGGCAAAAACAAAGAAAAATAACAGATTCTAGATCAGGATTTATGACTAGTGATAAAAAAAACAATCCCGACGTACACAGAACATTCATTTATTTTAACCCAGCATGACCTGGAGGAAAGAATTTTTTTGTCTTTGGCCTAGAAAGATAAGACAGAGAGAAAAGGGTATACTGAGGCTGCGTGATTATCATGCTCTTAAATTGGTCCAGTTGCATGGGTGAGGTTAAACAGAGAAAGGGGAAAGTCATTAAGATGTTAAGAGTATGGTTCCACTGTTTTATGTGTTTTCTTACAAATCACCGGAGCCTCAGAAACACTTATGTCAAACATAGGATCAAAACCTCTCTCAAAGCCAGCTGGTACCATACTGGCCATATATATTGGCCAAGAGAACAAGTTTAATTAGAACTTGTTTAATTAGGACAAGTTTAAAAGAACTTTCCCTGACGTGCTGAAAATGGTATAAACTGGATAAAAAGTAAGGCAATGAGGGATGAGTTAGAGAATGTTCTGTGCCTTCTGAGAGAGACTTACCATTGCAGGCTGGAAGAGGAACACTCCATTCTCCGGAGGAAGTGCACTGTGTGGCCTCCGGGCTGCTTGGGAGATAGCCCTCCCCACAGCTGACAGAGCAGGAAGAATTGTAGCTGAATTTCCCCAAAGGGTCGTTGCAAACCAGGCTTCCATGCTCAGGGGCTTCCTGTGCCTGACAGGTCACAACTGAAAAGGGAAACCAAATCAATTCTACTCCTCTCTCACCTTATCAGGTGGGAAGAACCCTGGAAACTATAACTACTGTTTATTGACCTTTTTTTTTTTTTTTTTTTTTTGCGGTACGCGGGCCTCTCACTTTTGTTGCCTCTCCCGTTGCGGAGCACAGGCTCCGGACACGCAGGCTCAGCGGCCATGGCTCACGGGCCCAGCCGCTCCGCGGCATGTGGGATCTTCCCGGACCGGGGCACGAACCCGCGTCCCCTGCATCGGCAGGCGGACTCTCAACCACTGCGCCACCAGGGAAGCCCACTACTGTTTATTGAATAGCAGGCACTATGAAAATGTTGTGTCTGCATTTGTTCACATCATCCAAACCATAAGCCTGTGAAGTTGGTACTATATTGTCCTCATTTTACAATGAGAAAACTGGGACTCAGAGAGTTTAACTATGTTGTCAAGGTGCTGTAATTAATAAGTGGTGAATCTGGGATTCAAAGCCAGGAGGGTCTGACTTCATAGCCTCAGCTCTTAACCACCTTCTGAAACCATATGCCCCAGGGAAGGGAAGGCATGCAGACCTGACTCCGAAGCCAGCGGACACAAAATCCTCCTACCATCTCTAGCGAAGAAAAAGGTGAGACCAAGCCTTACCTTGCTCACACTTGAGTCCCGTGAAGCCGGGGTGGCACTGACAAGTGTGGCTGTTGACGGTCTCTCTACAGTCACCGTGGCCGCTGCAGGATGTCGGGGTACAGGCAGCTGTGGAAAAGACAGTCTGTGATGACGATTGTTATTGTGCTTCAAATGAGTTTCTTTAGGAATTCAGGGTCAATAGTGTGTAACGGGGATGTCACCAATGATACAGAGTGCCAGAGATTTTAACAGAAGTGCTTGATGAAATGCCAAAGCTGAGTTTTAGGCTCAACCATTTTTTTTTTTTCTTTTGCGCTACACGGGCCTCTCACTGCTGTGGCCTCTCCCGTTGCAGAGCACAGGCTCCGGACGCGCAGGCTCAGCAGCCACGGCTCACGGGCCCAGCCGCTCCGCGGCATGTGGGATCCTCCCGGACCAGGGCACAAACCCGTGTCCCTTGCACCGGCAGGTGGACTCCCAACCACTGTGCCACCAGGGAAGCCCTAGGCTCAACCATTTTAAACCTTGATGTTAATGTCAGGGGTATAGCTGTAACTGGCTCCCCAAATAGAAAATTCCCTTTATCACAAACTCTAAAGAGAGTTCCCCTACGGCACATAAACAACAGGTAGCTAAAAATGTATCATGTGTTTGTACACACACTGTATATAAGTATAGACCTATATATATGCATATATGTATACATAAATACATACATTCTTGTCTACATTCACACAAAGAAGCAAAAACACATTCTGTTTTAAAACATCAAACAGAATGTTTTAAAACCGTATCTTTTAGAACATAAATTTCCCACAATAGAGACCAGTTTTTGCATACAGTCCACAATCTGTCAAGATGCTCACACACTGAATCTCCCTCCCACTGCTGCCACAAACTCCCTACCTGTGTAGCACAAGGCTAGCTTCTTTTTGCTGCATCTCTCATCGTTCCACTTGCCCGAGTCCTTTTCTCTCTTGATGTAGATCTCTACACAATCCTCGTTGCTTTGCTTATTGTTTGGTTCACCTGGAGCCCAGTTTGTGGCCTCTTCAGTCAAAGGCTTCTGGGTCCCTATCCAGGTCCAGGTATCGTTGACCTTCCTGATTCCGATCCAGTAATAACTTGGTGAATAGCTGAATGTGGAGTTCAGGTGTTTAATCTCTTCCTGGTTTTGAATTGCAACCAGATGTGTGTACCTTTGCTGGCAATAAGCACTGGCCTCATCAAACGTCATGGGTTCCGTGGAGGCGTTGTAAGACCAGGCTCCACTTTCCTTAAACAGGAGAAGCACTAAGGGGGAAAATGTGAAAGGAATGGGAAAGTTTAGTCCTGCTATGGTTTGACTCTGTTAACTGGACCTTTTGTTGTCTTTTTTTGGGCATCTAGTGGCCTTTGGGTTGACTCAACCTTTTTTCACCTTTTCCAAAGTAAGAATGGGTACGAATGGAGAAACTACCATTTACTGTGTATCTCTTTTGTGGTTGCCCTTCCACTTGGTGCTTCACCCACCATAACCTACCCAATATACCTGCCTAATAGTAGAATAATAATCAGAATAACTAAGCTTTGGGGGGCACTAAATATGCACTGTCGGAGGCACTTTACGTGACCCACAATACTGAATCCTCAAAATGCCTCTGGGAAATAGGTTATTTATGATCAACTCTTTATACGTAAGGAAGCTGAGACACATGAGGTAAATTGCTCCTAGCCCAGGGCACAACACATTGTGAGGAGAGGCCAGGAATGGTGCTAAACAACCTACAATGCACAGGACAGCCCCCACAAGGAAGACTTATCTGGTCCAAAATGTCAGTAGTGCCAAGGATAAGAAACCCTTTTCTAACTACGGGCATTGACTTACCGAAAGTGAGAGCAGAGAGAAACTGTGAAGCAATCATGACTTCAAGACTTCTTTTGATCCCAAGATTAGACTTGAAATGCTTTTCTGGGGGCGAAAGTACAAAATTAATTATAGAATGAAGTCCCAGGCTACCAGTTACTCAAATCATTCTACAATGATGCGTAGAGCGACATCATAATATTTTCAGATAAAGGATTGAAATCTTTTGCCACCATCTTCACTTCAAAGAAGTTTACCCAAATGAATACATGTAAAAGTTAAGATTCTCATCATTTAGGTCAAAGAGAAAAGCCAGGTTTTAACTTGTCTGAATACAATAAGAGCTTGCACAGATCTTTTATCGAAGGCTTCTTGACTATCTGTTCATATTAATAATCTGGGTTTCATGGCCAGATTAATTAAGTAAAAGACTTCTTGCACTTACCTGTTCGGTGAAGCAGTTGTTTCGGTGTCAGATTCCTCCTGAGTTGCTGCTGCTTCTGCCACTCTTGCAGTTCTGATGCGAGGTCAGCCAAGAACACTGGAGCTCTGCTCCTGCTGGAGCTGCTTTATAGAACGACGCTTCCTGTGAGTAATAGGAGGATATGTCCAAAGCCAGTAAAGAGGAATTCCCAGACAGCATCCAAAAAGTTTCCCAGGAATATCCATAATGCGAAAAATTACAATGATGTCAAAATGAATTCTCCTTTTTTACATACCTTTTAATTTTACATGAATTCTATTGATATGACACAAATGCATGGTTTTAATCCCCAAAACATAAAAGCTATGTCTTTAAAATTTTTTTACCTTTGCTTATTAGTAGTCCCTCTCCTGAAATTGTGGTAGCAATCAGAATTTCATCACCCTAAGCAAACTAAGAATAGTTGTGTCATCTATGGACTATTACCCTCAATTTTCCTACCCCATACCAGTCAATTATGTCATCACTCACTTTTTTTCTCTTTCTCACCTACCAACTCAATCCATTTTAAGGTACAATACCTAATTGGAATGAATCATGAAGTAAATGTTAATCCTCAGATTCTGTGTATAGTTATGGCTAAATTACTAGAAACAATATCTCCCACTTAAATGTCTGAAATAATGCCTTGTTTCTTAAATATAAGAAAAATGGGAAACAGACTTAGATATTCCTGTCGGGAAAACATTCATGATTTGTTCAGTGAGAAAATAAAAATGAAAACTATATATACTCGTGTTTAATTTACCCAAATTTGGTTTAAAATTTTTTAATGTGAATTGCAAAAACATAAAAAATGTATCAAAATGTTAACAATGGATTTCTAGATGGCAGGCTTCAGGGGTTATTTTTATAACTTTCATGTTTATTTTCAGGTTTTCCCAGTTTTTGCAATGACCCTCTATTACTTTTATAGTAAAAAGAACACAGTTTAAAGAATTCTGTGTCTAAATGCAACTGAAGGGTATATATATATATATATAATATATATATATATATTTTATATATATAAAATATCACTGATTCCTGCTCTTTATACTGGCATTTCTTTGGGGCAGTTATATACAATCACCATTCCCCATCTCTGCATCTTGTTTAATTCAAACCGTAGAGACAGTAAATGGGAATCTTTTACTTTCCATGTTCTATAGAGATCAAGTGAAGCTAATATTCTATAATTACAGTTTTTTAGAATAGGACATCTAAGAATGTACTCTAAGCAGGCATGAAGTAGTAGTGGCAGGGGAATGAGGCGGGGAATAACAGGTTAATTTGTCTCATTACACATGTTAGCCCTGGCTCTTTCTATGCACATAAAGACCTAAGCCAAACAGGCAAAGAGAAGAAAAATTCCAATGAGTACAACTGATTTTAAAAATTAAATAAATAACCCAGTTAGCTAATTTAACTCCTAAAACTGCCTGGCTCTGAACAGAGACGTTATCATCCACCTCCCTCTCTCTTATATTTTCTAGATACTGACATTATTTTTTTTAATCAGACTTTACTTATGTAACGTGATCGCTATGGCTCAGTAAATGTGGAAGAGCAGTCAGTCACAAGTGTTTATTTAGATTTCAGAGAAGGATGTGAAGCTGGGTTAATACGTAATCTGTATATGTTTTATTTTTTAATAAGTTGCGAACATATCATTTGCGTGAGCGTGGAATAACTGGGGGTGTTGAATATTATCTCCTCTTCCTCAAATAAACCTAATGTCCCAAGTAGCAGGCTGATTAGAGGTCCCTCAAGGCCCTATTGAGTCTCCCAAGCTCAGAAGATGTAGCCGGCTGTCCCTGGACTGCTCCATTTTCAACCCTGGCCTCATATGGATACCCGTTACAGTCTCCAACTTGGAGAGGCAAAGAGAAAAGGAAAGAAGATGCTGCAAACAGAGGCACACCCCAGGCTCCACCACCAGGGCTATTTTGTCTCTGAGGTGCCACCCTTCCTGGCTTTATCATCCCTTTTCCTGGAAGTGCCCTGGCCTCTCCTCCACGTCCTGTAAAGGGGCACCAAGGACATCAACCGCTTTTGCTTCTGTGCCCAGCCCAACTCATTCTCACCTTTATGGTGATGGGACATCCCTGAGGGAGTGAGGGAAAGACAGAAAGAGAAGGTTAGGGTTCCCAAGGCAAATGTTACAGTGTCACTCAAGGCCATCCTGTTCACCTTCCATAGATAGGGACAAATAAAAGCCATGGACAGGAGATTATTGGGTTTAATGGGAAGTAGCATCGGCCATAAGCACATGTGGCAAGACCATCTATTAAAGTGTGAATTTAGCTTTGGTTCCTCAGTGCTGAAGGGAACTATGAAGCATGGACAGTAGTTCTTGGTTCCCTCATCTCTGGGCAGTGTCGCTAGGTGCTTATTTTTGAAAGCTTTGGTAACTTCCCCCCAAGTTCGACTCTGCTAACATCTAAAGTACTTCTGTAGAGTCTAAGGTAGGGAGACGAAATCCCAATAAAGATTCAATACTATTTGCAGAATACAAATATGATATTTCTTGCACACCCAAAATTGTGAAATAAAATTAATAACAGTATGCCATCATGGTGTAGAATGGCATTTCTTGCTTGACTGAAACATAAGCATATTTGATAGAAAATTAGTCTGGTTCCCTCTAAAGTCATTCTCCAGAAAGGCATGTTCACTTCTTTGGATGTGTAGCTATCTCAGAACACCTGGGTCAAGTAGGAGACCTGGGCTCTCTGTCTGCACTCCCGCACCCAGGGACCAGGAATCCGTACTTTAAATGAATATTCAGGTAATTCTGATACAGATACCCAAATCCTACCATACTTTGAGATAGATTGGCCCAGGGTCACCTAATTTGGGAGAGAATATCAAGACCCCATGGCTGGTGCTCAGCTCTAAGTACAATTTTGACCAAAATGTCACTACAGTTACTGACACCCTCTCTACTGGAAGACTAGAGGCACCATTTGTAACAGTGTTGGGCAAATTCAGAAAATATTTAGGATGAGTCGATGTTTTGACTTCTCGTACATGGAAAGTAAATGGTTTTTAACCAAAGGAAGAGAATAGCTCTAAAGAAGTACCATAAGTCGGTATATATTAAGTTAGTCTCCTTTCTTGTCTGATTCAAAAGGACTCTGTAATTTCCACTAATTTCCCTTTTAAAACTTCTGGCACGATTCTGAGACTTCAGTTCTAATGTGTTTCCTTGCTTCCTGCTTGGCAGCACCTTATCTTGACGCTTCCGTTTTCTGTTTTGGAATCCAAGAATTAACAGTGGGAATATCTTCAAAATGAGCCAACTCCAGCGGTGAATTCCCAAGCAGGAGAAATAATTGCACATGGGCTGGTTCACTGAAAGAGCCCTTCCTGAATGTAGCCAGACTGTTTGCCGTCAGTTGTTAACAGAGAGGGGGAAATACCCCTGGATTTTAGAAAAGCTTCCTTGCTTGTTTTCCTTGGCCATCGTGCTGCTTGTTTTGTAACCAGAAGTTTCCTAAAGGATTATTATTAGCTTTGCTCTCAGTGTCTTATATCAGGAGAAAAATCTGGCCTCGTCACTTTTTTTTTTTTTTTTTTTTTTGCGGTATGAGGGCCTCTCACTGTTGTGGCCTCTCTCGTTGCGGAGCACAGGCTCGGGACGCGCAGGCTCAGCGGCCATGGCTCACGCGCCCAGCCACTCCGCGGCATGTGGGATCTTCCCAGACTGGGGCACGAACCCGTGTCCCCTGCATCGGCAGGCGGACTCTTAACCGCTGCGCCACCAGGGAAGCCCGCCTCTTCACTTTTTGAATAAAAAGATCTGCTGTTTCCCTTGTATATAGTTTTAATTTTTGAACTCGTGAATGTACTATCAAAAAAATCTTCAGTTTAACACCAACACTGTGAATTGGAGCAAGCTTCTTGGCCTCTAAGTCTCAGATCTCCCATCTAGAACTAAAGGTGTTTGACTACAGTCCCTGCCGTCTGTAACATACTGTGACATAACATGTAAATACAGGAAGAGACTAATTTAATTACACGCATTACTTCATACAAATTTCACAAAATTAAAGGTAGATATTATTAATTCCATTTTCCAGAGGATGAAGCACAGACCTCAAAAGGTTAAGTAACTTGCCTATGTTTTTTCAGTTAATACATGGTCAAGCAGGGATTCAAATCCACGCCTGTGTTATTCTAAAGCCCATGTCCTTTGTGTTGATTCCATGCCTGCTCAGATCGAAACCTCAGAAGGTAGATATACCTTAGTTTTTACATTAAAAAAAAATGTTATAGCAACCTGCTTGGCTTCCTGTACCTCCAGCCAGCTCATAAGTTCAGTGTCTTAGGTTGAGTTCCTTCTGAAGCAGACCCAGAGACAAGGACATAGGTGCAAGTCATTTATTTGGGAGGTGATCCCAGGAAGCACTAGTAAGGGAGTAAGGAAGTGAGACAGGGAAAGGGACAAATCCAGTAAAGGGTGTGTTAATCAGCAGGTTACCACTGTGGGAGCCAAGACTCAGTCCCACAAGAGAACTCTGGGAGACACCTCAGAGTATCCCCAAGGAGTGGTGAGGGAGCTGGGGGAATGCATCTACCGATTCCAGTCCGTCATTGGCTAGGGGCTGATCCTAGGAGGGCATGGTTAATTATCCTGCTCTTCCAAGTGGATTCCTGAGGCCAGAGAGAGCCCTTCACAAAGAGATGCAGGTGCTTATGGTTGGAAACGACATGATTTGACCTGGGTTTTTAAAGGATGATCTGTATGCTGTATTGGGACAAAATAGGCATGTTAGTTTTCTATCACTGCTGTAAAAAATTACTACAAATCTGATGGTTGAAAACAACCCAGATTTATTATTTCATTGTTTCTGTAGGTCAGAAGTACAGGTTGGGTCAACTGGTTTCTCTGCTCTGGGTTTCACATTCCCAAAGTCAAGACGTCAGCCAGTTGGGCTCTTCTTGAGAGAGTCTGGGAAAAATCTACTTCCAAGGTCATCCAAATTGTTGGTAGAATCCAGTTACTTGTGGTTGTCGGACTGGGGTCCCTATTTCCTTGCTGGCTGTCAGCCAGGAGTCATTTTCATCCTC